TTTTAAAGTTTATAAATTTGAAAAAGAAACTAGTTCCAGGGAAACAAATAATTCTATTGTAATTTGACATGTGCACGCAGATTTATTTGGATTTTAGTTCAATTCAATGAAAATAGTGAAATTATAATCTAATGAATAATTAATTATTTTTTACAGTAATTGTTAATTATTCAATATAACCAAATGTTTTGCTACAACCTATTATCAATTTAGTATTTGAATATGTGTAACGACATGTACACAGACCACATGGTTCTCACATGGAAAATCATGATATAATTACTGAGTTGACCTTTAACCCCACACCAATAATCAAATCAATCATACTAGTAGTTTTAACAACAAAATATGTGATGGGCAGACATATGAATAGCTCTGCTGTCATCTTCAATATTGAGTCACGTCTACTTTTCTTCAACGAAAATGTTAAAAATAAACAGCAAAAACAAAATGTATAGGTCTAATGGTACTATAACAACACACTCGGCAATCAATCTGATTAAAATAAGATCCTATTTTCTTTTAATTTCATTTTCAAATTTTAATTAAAAGTATCTATTTAATAAACTTTTTTCATATATTTTATTATTGGTGAGAATTTTAAAGTTTTGATAATTGGGATGCCAACAAAGTGTTGCCATAGTAACATGACAGGAAAGATAGATGAAAACTATACACCTACCTGTAATGCTCTCTGTTCAATAGTTTCACTTGCTGATGTAAGTTGCTCCACCTGTTCATCAACTCTGTTTATATTTTGTCGGTAGTTATCGTTGTTTTTACGATAATCAATGGCATGTTCCAAGACGCCCACAACTCGCGAAAGCTCTGCATTCAGATCATTACAGTGTTCTGAAATCATACAAGATATGTGACCACTGCGTATCTATGACAACCATCAATTATAAATGTGACCACAGCATTATTCTCTATGGACTGGATATTGTTTTGCAGCTTGATGTTGTGAGACAGAAGTGTCCAAGCTTGCAAAGGCAGCAAAAGTCGTATCCAGTCCATAAAGGTTTTATCATATACCTTATAGGTGTAATTACAATTTTACCACAGCGTGACCTCAAACATTTTGTTTTGATTGGTGAAAGCCGAGCGTGATAAAGGATATTATTGCCATGATATGAGAGCAGCACTTCCCATAGTGTTACAAGGCCAGGTAATACATGGTATATGATAATTAATGGCCAACTATTAACTACCATGATAGACCACAAAATCTACATGGTCAGAATTCCCATGATTGTTAAACTGGTCAACACTTCTTTGGCCATGGCACGGTACTGTAAAATTTATTTTTGCTTGGAATTAATTTTCGTTATTTTCAATTGAAGGAATGATTCAGTGAAAATAAAATCCAGCGAATTTACCCCTTTTCCTTATTTTACATTCAACTTTTCAAAAATCAGTGAAAATAAATTCTATTCAAAACACCCAAAAAGTCTTTTCAGCGAAAATCAATTCCAATATTTGGTTTGGTGTTATCACCCATATAATATTTTACACTTTAAAAATCCTTGTGAATTTAATTCTGTATTGTGATTACAGCATGGTGAAATAACATCATGTGTTACCATGCATTATAAATGAGCTATTATTGTAGTTCATGTACTCACCAATGGGCACAGTATCACTGCTATTCTGACAACTTGCACTACAACTTCCTCCACTGTTACTGATATTGCTTGGTGGTGTGGAAGCTGACTGAGAGAACTCATCTTCTTCCCTACAGAGAATAAAATGTTTTATTGTCAGATGGAAATATAGAAATAATTGAAATTAGGGAGTAGCATTCTAATACAGAGTAACTCACAGGAATAAAGACCTAATGCAATGGTGTAATGGTTAACATGTTCATCTCGTATCATGGAATTTTATTGGCTGAGCTGAGTTGTATAAATCAGAGTACAGTTTGCCCTGCCTTCCAAACACGTCTTATTACAAACTTGATGGCAGTGCTAACAAAAAAATGCACATCTTGGGCAAGGGAAAATTTGTCTGAGGTGGGTCATTGAGTTACTTTGAGATAAAAGAATTTTCATTTCTGCTGGAAATAACATCTACTGACATCTGTAATATGACACTGTAGCTCTGCAGTAGAGTGAATGTTTCTCTATTCTGACTATAGAGGGCCCACTCACCTGATAACATTCCCCTGTGATCTATCAATCTTTTTGTTCAGCTCTGCAATGACACTGTGTAATTCAATAATTCTTTCTTCATATCGTTGTGATTGTGTTTCAAATCTCTCTTCATTCTCATGTATTAGACGAGCTCTTTCAATCTGTAATAAGACAATAGCAATATGCTACCCATAATATATCCACAGTAGATAATAGCAATGAGCTCTGCTATCCCATAATATATCCACAGTAGACAATAGCAGTGAGCTCTGCTATCCCATAATATATCCACAGTAGATAATAGCAATGAGCTCTGCTATCCCATAATATATCCACAGTAGACAATAGCAGTGAGATCTGCTATCCCATAATAAATCCAGCTATAGTTCTAAAGTGGTGAAAAAAAAGTATTTTCACTGAATTTATTTTGCAAAACTAGCAAACC